TTCAGATACTGAAGATTCACGATTTTGTATTAAAACTCAGTCAAGCAGAACAAATGTAAAAAATAAATTACGTAATTCCAGTATAGTGTCAGTAAATTCCAAAGCAAATAACGTCCAGGTAAGTCTGATGGAACACCCTGTATCCCCAACTTTTAAAATCACTCCACAAGTGGATATAAAACTACAAAAGCTTCCAAAAACAAAAGTAGTGGACAACTGAGATGCAGCAGAAATTATGCTCAATGAGAAGCATTATTGTGGTCAAAGCAAGCTTGAGCATAATGCCAATAGATTATAAGTTGATATGATGCTCATAGGCAGACACAGAGAAGTCCCAGCACTCCACTTTGTTAAAAGAATGTCTAAAGCAGTGTATCTGCAATTTTGCCGTTGTTATGGATGACATTTAAGTAGATAATGATCAACAGGTTTCAGGCAGGGTGAAAAGAAAGAAGCATGAAGAACTATGTAACTGTAAAATAAGAAAGAGATGCCCCGAAATAAGTATTACGAAATAATATCTAAGTGGAGGGTGTGAATGAAACAGAGAAAGAGTGAAAATCCATACAACAGCTAAACAGAGAACTAAGAAAGTTGAATAACATAGTGCGAAAGAGATCATTAAAAACGGCTTTGACTTCATTCCGCATGTTCATTTTCTCCACAATACATCCCTCTAGAAGACAATTGGTTTCCTGTGGTCTACCCAGAGAGATGCTGAATAAAATCGTAAGGAGAACCATTCTCTCTCTCTCTTTTTTCCTTTCATGTTGTTTGGTATTCTTAAGAGTTCTTTTATTTTTATTTTTTGTGATAAGAAACAAAAATAAATTCTATCCCCATTACCCACCACAAACCTAGCATCCAAGGGAAGGGAGTGGTGAAGGAATAAAGGATCATTTGATTAGTTGGAGGTGGTGTAGATCTAGGAATAAAGGAGGTCTTTCAATTGGTGATTTGAAGGCAAGAAATTATACTTTAGTAGGTAAGTGGCTTTAGAGGTTTCCTTTGGAATTAGATTCATTGTGGCATTTAGTTATCATAAGCAAATATGGACAACATGTTAACGGATGAGATGCTAATAGAGTTGAGAGGGGTAGTTTCTGAAGCCCATGAAAATTCATTTCACAAGGACTAACGAGTCAATTTTTCAATTACCATAGCTACTCTCCCCCAGTAATTTGAATACAGATAAAAAATATGTGGGAATACTAGAAAGAACTGACTGAACAATACATAACTTGCCCCCTCTAGATTTAAAAACTTTCTTCCACCCATCTAACCAATTTTTTTCACAATTGGATCCCAAAAAGATAAAGCAAATGGATTCCCACCCAAGGGTAATCCCACGTACTTCAAAGGCCACTCTCCTACCTTACATCCCAAAATTCCCGTCATCCTACTAATCTTTTCCTAATTTGAATTAACGCCCACAATTACATTTTTATCAATATTCACACCTTCAATCTTAAGACCATACCAAACACACCTACAATATTCTTGAAATTAAGAAACTTATCATCCCCTCCATCAGAAAAAAATAATGTCATAAGCAAACTGTAAATAAGAAACCGCAACTTTATCCCTTCCCACTGTAAAACTCTCCACCAAACTCATCGGCAACTAAAGTAAAAAAGAAAATGAGATAAAGGATCACCCTATATCAATCCTCTAGATGCCTTAAATCTACCCATAGGCTTACTGTTCACCAAAATTGAAAAATTTGTAGAGTGAAAATATCAAAGAATCCATTTTCTCCATCTTTCTCCATATCCTTTCACCCCCATAACATATTCCAAAAAGCTCCAATTTACACAATCATATGCTTTCTCAAAATCAATTTTTAACACAAAACCCTCCTTCTCTCTTTGTCTATAATCCTCCACAACCTCATTTACCACTAAAACCACATCAAGAATTTGTCAGTCCTTAACAAAAGCCCCCTGACACTCAAAAAATTGTACTACTCAACATTTCTTTTAACCTTAAGAATAAAACTTTAGTAATAATTTTATAGAGACTAAACACCAAACTAATCGGCCTATAATCCTTCACCTTCATGGTCTTGTCTTTCTTTGAAATTAAACAAATAAAAGTTGCATTCATAATTGCATTGACCACACCATTCTAAAAAAATTCATTAAAGACTTTCATTAAATCTACTTTTACTATATCCTAATAATCCTGATACATAGTCAAAGTGAAACCATCAGAACCTGAAGCCTTATCACGATCACACTAAAAAATAACTTTTCTCACTTCTTCCTCCACAAAAAAGTCTTTCCAGCCACCTAGACTTATCTTTTCCAATAGGACTCCACTCCAATCCCTCTAATATCGGTCTCTCACTTACTTGACTTGGATATAAAGTCGTAAAGAATTCAACAATCATGTTATTAATTCTTCCCTCTTCTTCAATAACCTCACAATTTCCAATTCCAATTCCAATTTATCAATAAAAAAATTTTTCATTCCATTTTTTACTCTATAAAACAACTTATAATTATTATCCCCTTCTTTAATCCATTTCACCCTCACTTTTCGTCTCCAACTAATTTCATTCTTGAAACCCACCTTTTCAAATCTATTCCTTAACTCCCATCTCGCAATTTCCAATTCCAATTCCAATTTATCAATAAAAAATTTTTTCATTCCATTTTTTACTCTATAAAACAACTTATAATTATTATCCCCTTCTTTAATCCATTTCACTCTCACTTTTCGTCTCCAACTAATTTCATTTTTGAAACCCACCTTTTCAAATCTATTCCTTAACTCCCATCTCGCAATTTCCAATTCCAATTCAAATTTATCAATAAATTTTTTTTCCTTCCATTTTTTACTCTATAAAACAACTAATAATTATTATCCCCTTCTTTAATCCATTTCACTCTCACTTTTCGTCTCCAACTAATTTCATTCTTGAAACCCACCTTTTCAAATCTATTCCTTAACTCCCATCTCTCCTTCCTCAAATTTATCAATCTCTTCAATTTTGTTCATTATTTAATTTTTTTTTAACTCTAATATCCCCAAACACTTCCTTTTTTCAACCCCTAACTCTTTTTTGTTTTTTTCACATTTTCTAATTTCTTCATAAATTTAAAACCTTCTCATCCCTCACAACTTTCTTCCCGCCACCAATCTTTAAACTGACATTTAAAAGTAGGGTGGTTCTAACCACATATTTTCAAATCTAAAAGGAGACAGACCCCACTTCACTTTAGTTGAATCAAGCATAATAGGACAATGATTTAATACAATTCTCGACAAAGTCTCCTACCTTACCCCCAAAAAACATTCCTCCCGCTTTGTAGAGAACAAAAATCTATCTAATCTATTACAAAACAGGATTCTCTCTAAAATTTGACCATTTGATGGGAATGATCAAAATATCGTTTCGAAATGGTTAAAATGTTTCCGTTTTCAAGAAGACCGAAACGAATCAGTGATAAAATCGAAATTCTAAAATTTCAAGGTATTTCATAATGTTTCGATATATTTTATAATATTTGAATGCATTTGCACAATTACTTCAGAATATTTTAAGGTAATTCAAGATTCTTTGATATATTTTGAGCAATATTTTAGAAAAATAATTCTTAAATTTTTTATTTTTTCATTAAGTTTCCGAAACGTTTCCAAAATGAGTCAAAACCTTTCCGAAACACTTCGAAACGTTTCTATTTCCTAAGTGACCAAAATAATATACTGAAATAAAATTTTGATCCTTGCGTGAAAATACCATTTCCCAATGGTGGATCTTTAAGTTCCATCTCCCTAATAAAAGAATCAAAATCCTTCATACTCCTTGTCACCCTTGTACCATTCAATTTTTCAAAAAAAAATATTTTATAACATTAAAATCAACTCCAAAACATCAATGTGGGCTACAAAGACCATATAAACCCGCCAACTCCTCCCACAATCTCTTTATCATTCTAGGATAATTTGGACCATGCACTCGAGATAACCACCAATCCCATCCATCACAATACATAACCCTTACTGAAATTGAAAATTCACCCTCAACATATTCCTCCACTTTAACAGTTTTTTCATCCCACACTATCACAATACCACCAGATCTACCAACAGACGACAACCAAACTCGGTTTCTATATCTAGATTCCCACACTTTTTATCAATATTCTATAATCTTCTCTTTTTTTGTTTCTTGAAAAACAACCACATCTGGCCCCACTCTAATCTGTCCTAGTTATAATGGTTTAGTATAGGGAAATATTGTAATCATAGTCTAATATAAATAACATAATGTAGGGCAACATTACTACACTCTAAGATATTATTTCTCAACTGCTTTCTCTCTTTTTCTTTCATCTTGATCTCTTTCTTTCTCAAACCCTAACACCAATTTTACTAATTCAACTTGGTATTAGAGCGAATCATCTAAGCTCATAAAGAGAAGACCTACTTGGACTATTGAGGTCTACTAGGTTTTGATTTGTTGCTCTTTGGATTGCAGAGATATTTTTCTCCTTTGTGGTGGTTTTGGTTTGGCCACTTATTGTTGTTGATTAGTATTCATTGGCTTGGGATGTTTCTATGGCTGCTGCAGAAGATAACAAAAGCCCTGTCGAAGAAATCAAAATTCATCATGTGGACGATCAGGTTATCAAATTACTTCAGTGTTGAATGGTAATGATTACCACCCATGCTATTAAAGGTTTTTCTATGTACAAACAAGGTTATGTCTTTAACTGACAGTCCTCCTTCAAGCTCAAAAGATTCTGAAGATAGGTGGAGTAAGAATTCTTTGGTGGTCGTGGTTCATTAATCAAGAAGAGATACAATCACAACAGCATAATGTGTCTGGATTTATGAGCTATTTGAGTGTACGTTTAATACCAAACAAGGTGACAAGTCTCTTGCCAAACATTATGGTGTTTTAAAAGTGTTATGAGAAGAAATTATGTTTTATTGGCCACTGAGTACAGATTTGGAGACTCCAAAGGATTCCACTTCCATGTTGGTACTAAATGTTTGGATGCATCAAAAAACAATGCAACCTAAAAGATAAGAGGAATTTTCCAAAATTTGAGGGCATGCAATGTAATGTACAATTCAAAAAGGGATGGGGACCCATATGCCTCTATCTTACAAAACAAGATAAGCAACCTGTCGCATGGGGAGAATACACAGCAGACCAGATACTACAAATAGCAGAAGCATGCAAGAAAAATAGAAAAACCAAAGAAATAGCAGCAAAAGACATAATAGAAAATCTAAATAAATGCAATGATTGGTTAAATGTGTATAAGGATGAAAAAATTACTGCAATGTTAATAAATAAGTACAGCAACTGCTTTATCAGCCACTGAGTATAGATTTGGAGATTCAACACCACCAACAAGAGTTTTAAGTTGTCTTGTTATTATCTAGTCTTAATTCTGAGTACAGTGTGTTTACAGATCAGATTTTAGATAGTGAGAAAATTTGAAGGTTGTCAATGCTTATTCTCGTCTTCAGCATACTTCGTTAACTCATGGGACTTCTTTTCCCCTCACAAGAGTCCTCTGCCTTGATCTCTAGTGACAGTAGTACTAGTGGCCATAACCGTAACGGTGGTCATGGTCAAGGTGGTAATCATGATGGGGTAGGTATTGGTCATACTAGTTGTGGTAATCATTCTAAGTGGAAATGTTCTTCTCACTAATGATACTCAGGATTATTGTTTGGATAAATGTAGGAGACTACCCTATGCTAATCAAGATTCTAATGACTCCACCCATGTCAACCCTTTATTGATGGTCCTTCCACATTTATGTTCAGTTCTTATGATAGCCTTACCTCAAAGCTCTCTAAGTTGTCCTATATGTGGCATCCCAATTAGCTTCACCATATTGTATTATGAATTCAGAAGCTAGTGCTCACATGTTTCCTCTCTATTTTTTAATTTTCATTCTTCTAGCTCACGTATTGAGTTAGCTTATGGCTTTTTTGACCGATGCGTAGGACTGATGATCCATGCCCCTTACATCTAGTTTATTGTTCCCCATTTTTCTTTTACGTTGTCATGTGTGAGTCAGATAACTAAGTCTTTTGAAAGTTTAGTGACATTCTCCATCTTTTATTTTTCAGGACCTCTGGACGAAAAAAATGTAATTGATTTGGGACATAAGCAGAATGCTCATTTGAATTCTCGAGATTCAGTCCCTACATTGTGTGCTACAGTGTCTCCTTTCTCATGGCATTTTTTATTTGAGTCATCCTTTAGCTTCATCAAGTTATTCCTAGTTTAAGTCTTTTTTTTATGTTAGAATTTGTGGCTTGTCAATTGAGCAAGAATTAACGTAATTCGTTTTCTAGTAGCTCTCGAAGCCATTAGCTCAGTTCTTTTTGGGGCAAGAATAAAAAACATTTATGGTTTTCATTTTGTGATCTTTTTTGATGATTTATCTCGCATTACTTGATTGTGTCTTATAAAAGATTGTTTTGAGTTGCTAAGATTTTTATCACTTTATAATAAAATTCTGGTTCGATTTGATAAACCAATCAAGGTGTTCTATTATAACAAGGGTCTGGGGTATCAGTCATTTATGTATACTTTTTGTACTGACTATGGTGTTATCCATCGACTGCTTGTCTAACATCCAAACAAAATGGCATTGCAGAACAGAAACATCAACACTTATTGGATGTTGCCCATTCTTTAATGTTTATGCATGTACCACAATTCTATTGGATCGAGGGTGTCTTTACTTCCATTTATCTTATTAATCAAATGCCATCATCCATCTTAAACAACAAATCTCCATTTTTATTGCTTTATTCCGATATACCACTCACTATTTGATTAAATTGTTCATGTCTTTGGTTGTCTTATATTTGTCCATCTTCTTGGTTCAGGTCATGATAAACTCTCAAATCTCTCGGTCAAGTGTCTTTCTTGGATATTATTGTATTCAGAAAGGTTACTGATGGTATGACCCTATTGCTCGACAACACAATATCAGTGCTAATTTTATCTTTTTCGAGTCTTCTCCATTCTTTTATGTGTGTCAGGCTATCATCTTTCTCTAGATTTAGTCTTTCCTAGTCAAGGGGAGCCCTTGTTGTCTATTGTACTAGAGTGTGTGGCTTCTTCAATTACTATTTCTACTCCCCCACTACAGGTTCACCCTCATTCCAATGACAAAGAGATTGTTCTTTATGCTCTAGTTCCACAGCCAACACCTATTTCTACTGAGGTCTTGCCTCCTGAGTCACCTTTTGATCCTTTTGATTTGTATATTGCATTAAGAAAAGGTACTCGTACTTCTACCATGCATCGTATTTCTAATTTTATCTCTTTTCATCGCCTTCCTTAATCTTGTTTGTTAATTTGCATCATCATTGTCGGCCGCATTTGTTCCTAGTTCTTTGACATAGGCACTAGGTTCTCCTTCATGGAAAATAACTATGGATTAGGAGATGAAGGACCTTCATGAGAATCAAGCACATAACCTCACTCCTCTTCCTCCTAGTAAATAGTCTGTCAAATGTCATTGGGTGTACATAATGAAATATCATCCTGATGGTTCTGTTAAACGTTTGAACGCGCACGGTTGGCTGCCAAAGGCTACATTCAAACATATAATGTGGATTACTATAAGAATTTTTTTTCCAGTTGCAATCAATTTTGATTTCCCTTTGTGTTAGTAGGACACAAGGAATGTGTTTTTGCACGGAAATCTACAAGAGAGAGTATATATAGTTCAATCTCGGGATATATTTCGAGAAAGAATAGTTAATCTATCATTTGAAGAAAAAATTATATGGGTTGACACAATCACCACATACTTGGTTTGATAAATTTAGTATTGTACTTCAGTATAGCTTTCAACGTTTTGCGTCAAGTCATTCAGTTTTTCATACGATGTTCTTCTACATGTGTCATTATTCTTATTGTATATGTTGATAATATTATTATTAGTAGTGATGACTCCGATGGTATTGCTCATTTTAAAACTCATTTGGGAAAGCAGTTCCACACAAAAAGACGTAGGTCTTTTTCGATATTTTTTGGGATTGAGATTGCTTGATCTAAGAAGGGTATCAATTTGTGCCAAAGGAAGTACGTGCCAAATTTCTTGTCTAAAACTAGTACTCTTTGTGCACGTCAGATGATACTCTCATAGACTCCACAGTCAATTCTTTAGTATCCGAAAAGAGCACTACACAAATGATTATTTTATCATTGGTCCTCATCAATTACAATTATTGGTTTCTAATTCTGAGTGGGTAGCCATATTAGCAGACAATCCACTTCTGGTTAATATATGTTTGTTGGTGGCAATCGTGTTACTTAGCACAATAAGAAACATAACATAGTTGCACAGTGTAGTGCAGAGGCTGAATGTCGTGCTATGACTCATATTGCATGTGACATGTTGTGAGTTTGATCTTTGCTTCATGAGATGGGTATTTGTGTGTCTTATCCTATGATGATGCACTGTGCAACTATGTTTGTCATGTGGCATTCTTGTTACTTAGCACAATAAAAAACAAAACATAGTTTCACAATTTAGTGCAGATGTTGAATGTCATGCTATGACTCATTGCCTGTGAGATTTTGTGAGTTTGATCTTTACTTCGTGAGATGGGTATTGGTGTGTCTTATCCTATGATAATGCACTATGACAATCAGGCAACTATTTTCATTACTAGTAATCTGATATTTCATGATCGTACTTAGCACATTGAAGTTGATTGTCACTTTATTCAAGATTTTTTATGCAAAAAAAAAAAAAATTGTCCTAGTGATAAGCTAATTGCATTCTTACCAAACCATTGGCTTGGTTTGCCTTCAATGGCTCTTGTATGCAACACTACCTTACCCAAGCAAGGATAAAAGAGGAGGGTTGCGTTAGGTAGTCGACAGCCAGCGTAAAACTTTGTTGGATCTACTATGATGAGCCAAACAATGATTTATGCACTAATACTAAGTCGTTCCCCATAAGTGACATGTTGTGCGGGCCTCGAGGAGTTTTGAAAAATCAATTAGGGGTACTGCGCCAGCCTCTGGGCGTTTCGACAAATAAGATAGAGGTGCCACATCGACACCTAGGTGCAATGTTAAGTTGGCAAAGGTCTCCGCGCCATGGATGGACGTAGGGGTAAGGAAGCTAGTCCACGATTATAGACTTAGATTAACAACATGGAACATAGGTACACTCACGGGCAAATAAATGGAATTAGTAGACACTATAAGCAGGAGAAAAATTAATATAACATGCTTACAAGAAACTAAGTGGGTGGGTGAGAAGGCAAAGGAGATAGAAAATACAGGATTTAAGATTTACTATACAGGAAAGGATAGACGAAGAAATAGAATAGAAATAGTTGAAGAGAAAAGCCTAAAAGATAGCATAGTAACAGTCACAAGGAAATGAGATATGATTATATCTATCAAACTCTTAGCTAGAGAGAATATAATTAATGTGATTAGCGCTTATACACCCCAAGTAGGGTTAGAGGAACATATTAAAAAGCAATTTTGGGAGAAAATAGATGAACTAGTTCAATAAATACCTATAGAAGAAAAGATAATCATAGGTGGAGATTTCAATGGACATGTAGGAAAAGATAAGACACAATATGAGAGAGGTTATGGTGGTTATGGGTATGGTGATCGAAATGAAGCCGAAAAGAGTATTGAGGATACTCATAGAAAAGTATAGAGAGAAAAAAAAATCTCCACATGGAATTTATAGATTTAAAAAAGGCGTATGATAAAGTACCTAAAAATGGAATATGGAGGGTGTTTGAGAGAAAAAATAATGACGAATAGTATATTGAGGCGATAAAAGAAATGTATGACGGGTATATGTCTACAATTCGGTCTTCCGTGGGAGAAAGTAAATAATTTTCAATCACAGTGGGATTACACCAAAGATTGGCCTTAAGTCCATACCTATTCGCCCTAATTGTAGATGAACTCACTAGGCACATTCAAGATGATGTCCCAAAGTGTATAATATTTGCATATGATATTGTATTAGTAGATGAAATTCGAAGGGGGATTAACAATAAGTTAAGAATTTGGAGAGAGACACTCAAGTCAAAAGAGTTTAAAATAAGTAGGAGTAAGATTGAATATATGCAATGCAATTTTAGTAATAAAAGAAGTATACATAGTGAAAAAGTTAAGATTGAAAACCAAGAAATATGAATAAATAAACAATTTTGATATCTATGATCGATCATTAAAAATGATAGAGAGATTAGAGATGATGTAACTCATAGAATCAATGCCTGTTGGCTTAAGTGGAGGAAAGCCTCTTAACATATTATGTGACAGAAAGATACCAATAAAATTGAAAGGTAAGTTTTACCGAACGGCTATAAGGACAATAATGTTGTATGGGATAAAATGTTGGGTAACTAGGAAACAACATAGTGACAAAATAAGGGTGGCAGAAATGAGAATGCTACGATGGATGTGTGAAAAATTAGAAAGATTAGAATAAGAAATAACCCGTATTAGATAAATGGTAAGAGTAACTCCAATTGAGGATAAATTAAGAGAAAATAAATTAAGATGGATTCATCATATTCAACGAAGGCTTAGAAGAGGCACCGGTTTGAAATATTGAGAGAATTTCTCTTAATGTAATAGAAGTAGGATAAACTTATATTAACATTGAACGAAATAATAAGAAAAATATGAAAATATTTAACTTAAATAAGTATATAGCGCATGATCGAAATGAATGACGAAGACAAACTCATATAGCCAACCCCAAATGATTGGGACATAAGGCCCAATGAAATAATAAGAAAATATATGAAAATATTGAACTTAAATAAGCGTATAGTACATGATCGAAATGAATAGCGAATACAGACTCATATAGCCAACCCCAAATGATTGGAATATAAGACTTGGCTTCGTTTGATTTGGTTTGGTTTATGCTCTAACTTGATGGGGTGTTAAAGTTCTTTTTTTCTGTATACTAGTTATAAAGGTTCAGTATATGGTAATATTGTAATTATCCTCAATTATAGTCTAATATATATAAGAAAGTAAAAGACAACATTGTTAATACTCTTACATTATTATTTCTCAGCCGCTTTCTCTCTTTCTTTTCTTCTATTTCTTTCTCAAACCCTAAAACTGATTCAACTAGAATCAAATACATCACTAAGGTAAACCCCAACATGTAGTGTGTTTTAAAAGATTGATTTGGGTGAGATATGCAAATGGATGCATTCAGATTCAAACCTCATAGTATTCAGATGCACGTGCTTTGTTCAAATTATATCCCCTACAGAAGACAAACTAAGCCCTACATCTTACTCTGTGCTTGAGTGAGGTTGGGGTACCCCTCATCTCAAAAGGGCTATAAGTGTTAATGATCTTTCTGCATGAAGATTCCACCTTTTCTGAACATGTAACTTGCTACAGAAGACTTCATGTCTGTTTGGGGCTTGCCATCTTCAATTGTAATCAGATTTCTCATATCAATTTTAGATAAGAACTTGAAAAAAAAATTCTATAATCAAGGTCTCTGAAATTTCTAGGCATGAGGGGGAAAAAGAAAACAAACTTAGTTTTAGATCTTATCAATTATAAGTCTTATACTATTGGATTGATTATCCAAAGGAACTGAGGTTCCTTTGAATACGTTATTAACAGATGACGTGATCATGAATATGGTAAATACTCTCAAAATGGTCAAAGTACCATCAGCTAATTGAAAACAACAATGAAAGAAAAGTCAGAGATGCACCACAGTAATAACTGAAAATTTAAGAATTCCAAGGGCAATGGAAAACGAAAATGCACAAAGCACTCAATTAGATCTAAAGTAGTGGTTTAGGCCACAGGAAATAGAATAATCAACCCTATGACTTTTCAACACAGTCCTGCTCAAAAAGAGAACAGAAGGCTAGAGGAAATTGGGAGAGGAAGACTTGACTAGGCTTATATATCTCTCATTTTGCAAGCATGTTTACCCCATTTTTTAGGTAACCTGTTATGCCCCAAGTCTTGTGAACCCTACAGAGCCATAGAGATTCGAACACAGACGACAGAAAGTAACTTTTCTTGAAGCAAAACCAAAAAGGAAATTAAATATTATTGCAGGGATGCATTATATAGGATTCCAGGATGCTGAATGCCACAAAACAAACACGTTAATTCCAGAGGAAAATAGAAAATTATAATATAGTAGATATCAGACAGATGTCAGGAGACAAAGTTATCACATAATTTAATTTGTAGATACAAATGCGAAATGTAGTACACTTTTTTTTTTCCGTACATCACCTGAAATACATGTTCCTGATATGGAGAAAGCTGATCGGAACATAATCAAATAAATTTAGGACTTCACTTGAAAACTGTCAGACAGTACAGAATTACAATGATAAAAATCATAAAGAACCACCTAATGAAAGAGTTCTCACTCGTAATGAAATATGGTCATACTTGGTCACGAGGCATAAATTATTGTTTCATAGTCTATACATAAACAAGTTATTTCCGACCTTTACTCTCATTATGTAACTTCAAACTTCTCAGTCAACAGCAGGGGGATAAGCAGGGGCATATATTCTTAATACCAAGGATCAAAATATTGTTTCGGTGTATCGTTTCGGCTACCTAGGAAATGGAAACATTTCAACGTGTTTCGGAAATATTTCGACCTGTTTCAGAAACATAATGAAAAAAATAAAAAATTTAAGAATTATTTTTTTAAAACATTGATGGAAATATATCAAAGTATCTTGAAATACCTTGAAGCATTCCAAAACAATTGTGCAAATGCATTGAAATATTATAATACATTTAAAAACATTATGGAATAACTAAAATTATCAAAATTTCGATTTCATCACTGTTTCATTTTGGTCTCCTTAGAAACGAAAATGTTTCGGACGTTTCAACCGTTTCAAAACGATATTTTGATCCTTGCTTAATACACAACAAAACTGGTAATTTTCAGAAAACTGTTTAGATACATTATGATCAATTTAGGATGTTTAGACAACAGAAAACCAGACAACTGAGACAAGACTTCTTTGAAACACAATGGAACTAGACATATACTGGTAATACTGAGAAAGAGGCAAACAATACATATATCTAGAGGATGGACTTCTGTTGAGAAAATTACCATGTTCCTTGGTGCAGCAGTTCAGGATTCATTCAATCCACTGAGAGGCGTGCAAGATCCAGGGACAACCCAAGCAGTCCAAAACTTTGAGATATGCTCTGAACCCAATTAAGGTCATCGAAACCAACCAAAAGCACAACTTTGCATGCTATAAAGCTTCAAGGGTTATTGATGCTTTAGTGAACACAGAAAGAACAAATGGAGCTTCTTCTCCAGGGTGGATCGTTGTTGGCACTATAGTGTAACCCTTCGGATCAGGCTCCAGAACCATCTCACATGATATTTCTCGAGAATTTACATAATCTGTCCCACCAACTGATTCATGTAAGTAAATGTTGTAAGCAGCACGACGCCCACGGGTTTTTAGTATCCTCATCCCAATGTAGAACATCATTGAGTCGTGACTGGATTGATAATTCCTGAAACCAGCAGTTGTTCTCGAGAAGCTTACACCCTAGACATACACAAATGTCAGATACGTTTATCATCCAGTCAACAAGAGAGAGCTATTTATCAAGGCTGATCGCTTGGATATAAAGTATTACATCTACCTGAGTCAAGGTTATAAACACGTGAATTGGAAATGATGCATCTGGCCCAGTGGCCCTCACCCGGAACTGCGGGTTCTGATGCCATGTATCATAATCCTGACAACCGCCAGCACTGTAACCTCGCCACTGGCCATGAACCGAATAACGCATCTCCGGGGGGTACACACGACAAACATAGATTGACCGGAAATGGATTTGGAAGTCTTGCCATGACATCCAGAATATACCATCTTTTGACTGCGGTTTCACGCATACAACAAGAAGTTCAGACGGAGAATAACAAATATTATATGACTACAATCTTGTCAAGCATGCCAACAAAGCATACCAAGATGTGATAACATCTTGCAAACTCATCCAAACATTGTTATCTGGAAACCGGAAAAAGGATGAAGAAATGGGGAATATTTGGGCATGGCATCCAAGAAGAATAACTACCTGTGGAACATGTTTGAGCTTGTGCTTCATCCTGTCAGTCCATTCAGGTGATGAATCAGACCAAGGGCCATTCCACTCAACTTCATTTGCCCACGGGTTTCGAATCTGAACAAGTCTGTGGCCATCTACTTCTCTAACCTGAACAATGGTTTGATAAGTGAAGAATGATAATTTTATGCTCAATTTCTTTCAGCAAATGTAACATAAATTTCTAAGATAGCATCCAACCTAAAACCAATTGGCAATGGGTGGACGGCCAATCTTGGGTAGCCTTAACTTCTATATACGGGACATGCTCTCTTCACACACACCCACACATGAAGGTATGGAACAAAGATTCTATCCCAAGAGGGGTCAAACAATGACATATAAAATATTTATTAATTAGATAAACAGTTATACAAAATCTAACAAAATTAAATTTCATAAAATACAATTTTAAAAATTAGTTTGGGCCATAAAATCCAAAGATATTAGTTCTTACTATCTTAAAATTAGTTTGTGACATTGTCATGATCCTTTCATTTCCATATTATGATATCATGTAATTACTTGAAAATAATTTATCCTCACAAATAGTAATTTCACATGATAAGATAAAATTGAGTCATGAGTCAACATATTACTTTTGAGATAAGCCACATCTATATTCTAGTTTTGCAAAAATTTCACACTTTTTTAAACTTTGATCATCAAACTCGTCCAATCAAATATCTTCGGTTATAAAATCATCACTCATCCATGGGTTACATCTCCCGTTTGACTATTAAATATCAATTCATTGATCTTTTCAAATGCACCAAGTAAATTGTCTATGCTTAAAGTTTTTCAGAACTTAAAGAGAAACATAGGATTATGGGGTGTTATAGGGATTTTTGGAAATGTAAGGGGGCCCATGGCCCCTTGTTAGCTCTGCCTATGCACACAGGCAACAAGGCTCGCACATGGACCAAGAACAGAAACGAACCAAAACAGCTGACAACATATCAGGAAATTCTGATGGGTGAGTTACTCGCTCCATTGATCACCCACGCCCAACTCTAAAATTATGTTAAAGCATCCACCCCAAAACCAATTGACAATGGCTGAAGAAACCCCTTTAGGATTCAAACCAACATTGTGTGGCCATAATCTTTCAATGTGAATACTAGCTATCTTCAAAGATACGAGGTCTCACGTTAGCATACCTGCAATAATGAGTAAGCGTGGCCCTGCACGATGCCACTCGAGGAAATATGCACATCTGAACCTGAAGGACTTCCAGCACCTAGAAGAAACCCCTCTTGCTTAAAGCGTAGCAGTTGAGACCAGAGTCTTCCACTAGCCAGATCAATCTGGGCCTGAGCACATCTCATATCAATCTCCTCACCAGCACCCCCAGTGAGATCCACAAGGGCATCTTGGACAAGCCCGCCTTCTAATGCCTCATAAGAACCATGAAGTTTGGCATATGCCTTCTCCAATATAGAGACCCACAATTCATTCCCCTTTCTACTGGTTGCAAATGCAGGTTTACCAGGTGATTCACATGGAATCCAGTCATCAACGACAACAGGGACCCACTCACCCTAACGTAGAAAGATCACAAGAGGACATGTTAATTTCAGCTTCATGACATAGCTTATCATAGAAAGCAAGCATATCCTATTTGATTAGAAAACCAATTAATCTATGGATATATGCTATCAACATTATGCGGTTCCTAAAAGTGCAACTATAGATTTCACTACAGCTGGTAGAGCAAGTATTTGAGAAGCTGACATGGAAAAAAAAGTCGGCATAGATGTAGAGTGGAAAACTCAAAAGCATTATAGGGTTGCTTATACGATGTTAACTCCAGAAGTTATGAATATTTTGCTTTCTATAAATTTCATATACTGCTATATTTTTTTTCTTGTATAACCCAGATGTCACCTATATTTTGAGATCAATTTATGATGCCATAGTGACTGATATTTTGGCCACAATTTTTTGTATGTTGCATACTGCCTGATTGCCAAGTAAGCATTTTATTTGCAATATTTTGATATAACTCATGATATGGTTTAACGTTATTCTTCCCATTTTACCCTTTTTGGCAAAACAAAAAAGAAAATAAAAATAAAACGCGACGTTATTTCCTTCAAAAAAAAAGGTAAAAATTTTGTTAGATATAGGGTTGCAATAAATCTCTGTTTTTGCATAATGATCAAGATCTTTGTTCTTGCCATTCCACTGAAAACAGCACCACCGAAAACAACACAAAACAAAAAAATGCTTTTTTACTCCATCATAATCCACCCATCAAATTAAAAAGTAACTACCATAAGACAAATTTAACCAGATATCCACCAGACTATTAGACAGATCATTTAAGAATGTTTTGTGATCATATTCTGATGTAGGCAAGTTTTTGTCATAAGACATTTTGTTCTGATCAAGCACAACAGTGAAACATCTTATACAGCTCTAAATGTAATCAACAGGGGTGCCTGACCTGTATGCAGAAGCGAACAGTGTAGATTCCTTCATCATTATAGTCTGGGGTAATAATGACTTCTGATATTCGTGAAACCTCAGTTAATACAGCAACAGCACTCAAAAACCAACAATCACCCAATCGGCCCTGTGCAAAAGAGAGTTGAGCCATCAAAGGTTAAGCATGCATGACTAAATTAAGAAAACAAGAAGTATTAGAAAGAAGATGGCATAAAGAAGAATAACTATGCACACAAATTACCAAAAAAAAAGGCCAAACCTGACAAACATCAGAAGGGTTTGCAGCCCCAGAAAATAAGCATGGACGAGAATCCAGATGGTTTTTTTTCACTATTTCAGTTGGCCTCATCCACTCAGCAACAACCTAGGAAGGAAGTCAAGATAAGGTTGGTACGCGGAAAATACTTAAAACCCCCAAAACATGTAAAAAGTAACAGATGAACAAACCAAATAAATACTCAATGAACGTTACCTGCAACTTCGAGGGAGGATTAACAGGATCTATGAACAATGACCGAACATTTGGGGGAAACTCTTGATCAGTAAAATGTGCTTCGCCTCTTGCACGGAGAGCTTCTTTGACAGCCAGTTCAACCGAAAGCATACGTTGATTAATTTCTTCCTGTGATTCCAGCCTAGGTTTCCTAAACCTCCTGGTGAAAGAATCCACATCAACCACCACCCCATCACGTTCTGACCTTCTTTTCCTCCCACTTGAATACTGTCCATCCCAATCCACATCATCCCTGTCATAAAGATCTACATCTGCAGGATCACTGTCCCACTCATCAACCTGAAGGAAACAATTCAGCAAAAAATTTTAGACCATATGACATGAAGAAATAACATTATTAAGTATAACCACACAAAAGTCCAGCATGAATAGTATGACATCATGCAAAACAGATCACATAGGCACACACCCTGGAAGGAGATTCCACCCATTGCCAATTATCTTCAGGAAGATCAATCCTATTGTACTCAGCAGAGCCCATGGCAGCAGGAAGAGCAGCAATCTCATCTTCAGTTAAGAACCTTCCCCAAAGGAAAACATCCATTACGTGCATCTTGGATTCAGCTCCTTCACTATCTGACCTCCCAAATGCATCCATATCTGTAGGTGGTCTCACGCCAACCCAAAGTTCTGTTCCTTGCTCCCAAATCGAATCGCTCACATACAATGGTAACCCAGTCTGGTAGCCATCATAACCACCATCTAAAAAGCAAGTAGCCTCACCTAGATTAGCATCTATGGTCATTGTAACAATGTGCCACCTGCAAACCAATGTCATCTAGTGAGATAAGGTAGCCAGGGAAGAAGGCAGAGAAATTTTTTTTTTAATAAAAAGAAGAATTTTAGTACACAAGAGAACCAAGAACAAAGTTACAATATCAGAGACACCTCTGAAATTTCTCAAGGCTTTGATTCAAAATGGAGCCACGAACAAAGTTCTTTGCAATCCCATTTCTAAAGGAAGATAACAATTATTGAAAATTCTTGCATTTCTCTCTTTCCAAATACAATAAAAAAGTATCATCAATGCACAATTCCAAAGTAACTTAGCTTCTTTGTTCTTTTCAAGACCACAAAACTTGATTTGCAACAACATTTATGCTGTAAAAGGACAAACTCAAGCCTCACCAACCAAATGGTACAAACTAATTCACAAACCACATGCAAGAGGACAATGTATGAAACAAAGAGCATTTGATTCTCCACTTCTTAGGCAAGTAAAACAAATATAAGGGCTAGAAGTTTTGTAAGGCCCCCTCACCCAATTAAGGATAGTAGACCAAACAAAAGCCTTGACTTTCGAGAAAGCTTTGGATTTCTAAATAAATTTTTCAAAAAAGAAACTTTTAGTTTGAGAGCAACCGAGATGAATAAAAAGAAAAAGTGAATATGATATTTATCCACAGTCCAAATATTACAATCATCAAAAGCACAAGGATGAAAATTGTGAAGAGTGTCAAGCAATAACTATGCAGAGTCTACTACTTCTCAATCATTTAGATGCTTCAAAAAATGAAAAATCCAAAGAATAAGAGTCCTCCCCATAAGGAGGAAAAAAGAAATGAGCCTAATGGAGGGAGAAAAGGTGATAGCCTATAAGACGGGGAAAAACTATAAATTGACGAATTCTCTACCCGGTTGTGTCCTCCCAATACAAAAATTTTAGATCCATCTTCGACCTTACAACGAATGGGAGGAAGAAAATACTGATATACCTATGAAACCAATTTCCAAGAATATGGGTTACATTATGCCGTGATTTAGTACCCCACCAATTCTTCTAATGACTTTATTTACTACTAATTATCTGACACCAATGCGAATTAGGCTCTAATGAGGACCACCAAAACACATACCACCGAGGAGTATATCAAACCAAATACATGTAAGCAGGAAAGAAAAACGTCTATAGAGATTAATAATATTTAGAAGGAAAAAAGAAGAGAAAAGACTACAAATGAAGTTTCCACAGGAACCAGGAGACAGAATGTAGTCATAAGAAGAATGCTTTATACGAAAAACTGACTTGTTGGTCTTCAACCCGTTAATCACTATGCAACACCCCAAATCAATGCAACGGGATATTCCGCCATTCCCATGGGTCTAGGTTTTTTTACTCAATGGTCAATGGATATCTTAGATCATGATTATATTTAGATTATGACTCCATAACACAAGAATTCTCAAATTACTTTACAGTGCAGTTTTAGAATTCTCAATGACAAACTCTTACCCACTGATATATTATAAATTCATAAAAATTATTTATATATGATGGCAAGCAAAAGCGCATATAGAAAACCTTCTCCAAGAATATATACTTGACAAATCAAGCACTGAATTGGTGAACAATTTCCTGCAACAACCTAGAAGGCTAAAACCTGCTATCTAGGATAGAAAAGAACACACCTTCCATCTGCGATACTTGATGCACTGATACTCCATTCTTTTGCTACAGTAGTTTGTCTATCACCTTTAGTTATCAATCTAAGCCCAACTTGTCCAGCCTCAATTCCTTGTTCAGAACCCGCTACAACAATCTCCCAGCACACTTTCTTCTGAAATTCAGTACCTAAGAGGCAAACTGGCCCAGACTCAGGCTGGATCATCACGGCTATAGAGAAGCTGACTTTTTGACTTTGGCATATACTAGGATCAATCTGGCCACAGTGTCTGCCACTACTTGTGGGCTCATCATCAAGAATACAAACAGCACCAGCAACTCCTGTCTGTAATAAAGTCAAAAGCAAAGGATTCCAAAAGTAAGTGACACTGACAGACAATATATGACCCACATTAGATGATATCTACAGTCAATCTCAGCAAAGTCAAAGTTCTTTCTCAAGTATCCCATAAGCAAATTGAAAAATAATACTAAGGGGAATGTGGTAAAAACCAGAGGTCTGACTTTACTTTTTCATCTTTGTTTCGTTTCAATGCAACCAAAAAGATAGATGTAGCAGGCCACTTTCTGAGTTAACAGCCTGGCAAGAGTGACTCGTCATCTCAATAGGGTAAGATATATAGACCACATCAAAAAATGTAGTACTTAACACTACGCAAGAAATCAATTACAATGGAAATGTTTAACATATCACAGAAAGCACTGAAAAACACCAAGGATATACCTCAAATTCTATAACACCAATTTGATGAAATATGCGTATATAAGGGAGAGAGGGGGGGAGGGGGGGTGTTGTGCCTAATAAACCAAAGACAGCACTCAGCCTTGTAGCCCAAAGTAGCCCATAAAACATGTTTTTTTCTTCCTTTGGAGACAACTAGCTGGCAATCCCAACAGAGTATTCCATTAATAAAATATAAAACTACCTGGAGTGCCCGACGAGATAACTGCGCAGCACGTATACGACGCGCGATGCTTGAAACTCTTTCACGTGCAAAAGAATCATCAAGAACAGAATCACCTCCTACTGCACGCACTGCAGCTGTCATGGCTGCTGCTTCCCTGCTTCCAGCATTTGGCATAGATGATATGAGGGAGGCCTCTATCTCCTTCCACTTCCGTTCTTCCTTCTCCAGAAGTGCTTTCCTTCTCTCTTTACCCCTCCCTTCCTCCTCACGTCTCTGCATCAAGATTTCCTCTTCCATCTCCTTTTCTCTTATATAACTACAAAGTTGAAATAACAAAACAATTAGATATAAAGATTAAAGGTTCTTTGACAACGTGGAGGACCTAAATAGTTTGAGAGAAATAAGTCTTTCACCTCTCCTGTATGATTTCAAACTGTCTACGGTCTTCTGGCATCCACTTTTTAATTTTCTTGGCACTTAAATCTGAAAAACCTATGCTATCAAGGAAGAGTCTCAAGCGAACCTCATCCTACCATACACAGTCGAAGGCAGAAATTGTTAACAATCAAAACATATTTCACATGAGTAGAAAGCAGTAGGTCCATATTCACCTGCACACGCTCTGCTCTTGCAGTCAAACCAAGCAAAAGAAGTAAGTAACCACCAAACTTATCCCACATGTAAACCCATTCAGTATCAATTGCCTCTTCCAAAGCCAAAATCCTTGCATGTGCACACATTTCTCTTCTACGACCTACATCACTTGTTGATTCGTGCCGCAATGCCCTTCCATTTCTTATTCTGCTAAAGAATGACCCCGCAGCTAGTTCTTCATTTCTTAGACGATCTCTTAACTTCATGACATCTGCTCTAGGGAGCACAAAATTTCCAGCCCTGTCACGCATAACAGTAGGGTCACCAACCAACAGGGCAGCTGAACTGGCAGATCTCTGTGGAGCGGAGTACGTTCCAGATAGAGCATTTCTGGTCTGCACAAGAATTGAAGGAAACTTATCTCTAAAAACTAACTAGCCAATCAAAGCAGGAAATCACTTCCATAAAATATTAGAAATATTGGAGTAGCAGAAGCGAGAAGAATCAACAATAGAAAGAATATCTTACACTTTTTAAATGGCACTGTCATCCATTAGAAAACAAGACAAAGTGTCCAACTATTCTTCCTGAAAAATGTTTGCAGCTACAAAAGATTGCCAATTTAAGGGCACGAGAACACATAGCTTGCTAGTAGTAATCCTCTAAAAACAAACCCAATCTGCACTGTGACCACCTAAGACTTCAGCCTAATGATACATGGATAGTGGGTCAATTTGTGGGCTGTATGATACCTTCTTCTCTGCCACATCTTGCATTGGGGATAGACATAAAAGCTAATGATTGTAAATAATAAAAATTAATGGTTGCCTATTTGTATTACGAAAAGATTAAAATTACAAAATATCAAAAATATAAGTTTAAATATCACCCAGCTAGGCTTACAATTCCGAGTTAGTGTTAAAATTTGGGGTATCTCGATCGTGGGTAGATTTAGGGTTAGGGTTACAATTTAGGCAAGGATCTAAATATCGTTTCAAAATGGTCGAAACGTCTGAAACGTTTCCGCTTCCAAGGAGACCGAAACGAAACATTAATGGAATCGAAATTTTAATATTTTGAGGTATTTCATAATATTTCGAGATGTTTTAAAATATTTCAATGCATTTGAACAATTATTTCGGAATATTTCAAAATATTTCAATATATTTTAATATATTTCAATCAATATTTTTAAAAAATAATTCTTAAATTTTTTATTTTTTCATTATGTTTCCGAAACGGGTCGAAACACGTCAAAACGTTTCCGTTTTCTAGGTGACCGAAATGAAATTTTAATCCTTGAATTTAGGATATAGAATTTCGGCAATCTAGGTTGAGAACCCACCCCTTTTGCCATCGTCAAACTTGATGCTTGGAAAGCCTGGGGAACTTGACATTTTGGTATCCCTTCTTCAACTTAACTATTATTAAGCCTAGAATTTCTTGAATATAAGCAAAATATTGCCCCCACGATGAAAAAGGAGAGTTTGAGTATAAAAAGTGAAGGAGAAATTCGATTTTACCTCAGTGGTATACCCTTTTGCCCTTCACCTCCTCTAAGTCAATATAACCATATATGCCTGACATGGTTTTGGACCAATGTCCAATAGTGGGCTATTGTGTACGTTAATTATCAGTACAAGACGCTCAGTTACTAGGTAAACTGGCATGAGAAGACTATTGGGTCCTGCGTCTAGTCTGATGGTAAAGTGGCTGAAAATAACCATACAAGAAAAAAGAGTGTCAAATGGGTGTTTCTCCAAGCACTCACTCCCTCCAAATTAATATGTGTGTATGTAGATAAGTAAAGATAGAGGTTGATACAGATTTTTGTATCGATCTCTATAAGAGGCATACAGGTATGATGCTAGGGACCAGAGGCCATCTCAGTAAAATCACAAGTTATGGAGATGCATCAAATACTTGAAATCATCAAGGATAGAAACTCTGAGCCTGTCCTAAACTGGATCTCTACTACATGTGAAAAACTTGAGCTGAAACACATTTTTACATCCCTTAAATTTTTCCCTAGTTGATTCCAGGTCCTTATAAGCAGGAAACTAGCCAGGATTGTACTCCAGAGCCAGCATCATCTCGTTTGAAGGTTACGAACAAGACCAGAGATGGTAGAAATACAAAGAACCAGAGGGAATTGTATAATCAATCACACTGCACACTGCTCTTCTCATTTTCATGACCAAAAAGACAAAGCTTCAAACCATTAAATTCTGGGCCCCTTCGCTTTTTGTTGTCAAGATTATTGTACAACCTCTCATGGTCTTGTTGTCTAATCTTGTTCAAATTCAATTGTGAGAGAGAGACGGGAGCAAATCAGACTACACACAGAGAGAAAAAATGAAAAAGGACAAAAAAAAGTTTGTGGAAAACATATGTCAGGCCAAATTGGTAAGCCGCCACTCATGTAAAAAATACCACTGGGAATTGATGAGATCTACTAAAGGGAACAGCCAGCCGACGCTGATGGGTCTGCTATATGGCAATTGGGTCAAACATAGCAGGTTGAAGACTTTCTCTATAAAGTGTCGTTGAAATACACACACTGGAGCACCCTCCTATGAAGGTGGGTTCTTCTGTGGCAAGTTTGTGGAATCATGGTTATACAAAATATATATTAGGCAAAATTCAAAAACTTATTGTTATAGACAAATAAATAATTCATTGAATGTGCCCAGCATGTCGTTTCCCAATTCTTAAATAAATGTTGTGTTGACGTCTCTTTATCGTGTTGTATCCGTGTTCCGTATTCGTGTTTCTCAGGTGCTCAGTGAAGGACATGGGTGGTCGCTGGCCATGAATGGAGATTGGAAGTAGAGGTGGTTATGGAGGATATAATTCTTCTATTCTATTCTGTCGAGTACATATATATGGGGCTATTATGGAGATTTTGTTAGCACCATTAATAGAGCTAACAGTGCACATGGTTCCAAAATCATGAGTTCTGCAATATTGAATCATGAGGAGGGGAAGTGAAAAAGGGCAACCATAGTAATGGAGGAAGTGAAATTTCCCCAAAAAATGAAATACATGAAAAAAAAGGATATATAACCAGACATACTAAAGCAGCACTTAAAAAGGCCAAATGCGTTGGGCAAATTAAAACCACAACCCTTCATAAAGGGAATATGTAAAAAAGAAATATTAAAAGACAGATTCTGTTATAAGACCAGAGCTATTCCTCACTTGTCCAATGTTGACTATTCCTACATAATAATAATTGACTAGTCAGTTATATTCGTGAAAGGTTTCTGAATCAAAGTAATTGAAAATTAGCCTTCTGTTTACAATAATCTCTTCCTTGATACAACTCATCTAGTTTGGTTTCATACGCCTCTGCTAAAGCTTTATAAACGAAAACCAAGTTTGGAGTATTAAAAATCTGCAACACAGTCGAGTATGTTGAGATATATTGTATGGCAGGTGAAAATCATAGATTAATAAAAAACAAGTCAGTTGCCCCCCCCCCCCCAAAAAAAAAAAAAAAACCTAAAATTTTTATAAATAAAAACCAAGTTTGGAGTATTAAAAATTCATAACACAGACAGGTATGTTGAGATATATATGGAATGTGAACATCATAGATTAATACACCATAATCAAAATGCAAGTCCCAGGTAGTGGGGGTGGTGATCAAAATTTCGATTTAGTACACTATTTTGGTCAACTTTGAAATGGAAATGTTTCAGAAAGTAAATGGATACTGAAAACATCCAAAAACACTTGGAATATAAGAATTTTGATATTCAATCACACTAGCACATTTCGATGGAAAGAAAGTTTGATCCTTGACCCCCTTCCCTCCTCATAAAAAAAAACCAACATGAGAAATGATCAACACATACGCTCAGCTTTCAAGCAGCACATATACAAGAGTAGATTCATGAGTTTTCTTAAGCAATTATTCAAGAATTAATAAGAAAATATACATATGTTTTTTGCTACATAATAACTAATGAAATTTTAAATTCCTTACAATCTACAAAACAAATTTCCACAAGGTATTTCATATGAAACCAACCTCTCTACGAAGAAAGCAGAATTAACTGATATTTGTTCCACACAAAGGAAATACATATGGAGGTTCTAACTTACACACTGTTACACTGCTTGGATACTCAGAAGGGTAAGTTGTGGGGAAGTGGATAACTTAAAAGATTGTCACGATAAGCAGATTGGACAGTAAGATCCCATGCAACTTAACGACAATGATCAAATGTGTCATACAGGTGGGATGTTGTTTGTCTTTCACCTCAAGATTTTATGGAATCTACCCAGCATTTTTAATTTCAAAAATGACCCATCCATACTTATTTCACCTTATCATTTCAGCTAAAAGAACGAAGTAATATAACAATGCTTCAGATTCACTTTGTGTCACTTGATCACTAGAACACCAGCAAAGAACAATGATCTTGCTTGTACATGTCTCTATACATGAATAACCATGTGCAACTTTGCATACACCAAGTATATAGTAAGATCTGTATGCAAGCAAACTATGAATGGTATTGAATGAACAGGAGAAACAAACTTAACCCAGTTGGGCCACAGTCAGTCAAGTTGACAGTAAAAATATTTACACTAATACGTCTAAGACTCTAATATGATCGGACGGCATATAAAGTTGAAAGTGTCAACTCAAATATAGGATACAGCCATGCAATCATCTCTCCAATAGGTATATCATACCTTATTAATCTGAATCAATAAATAGTTACTTGAGGAACCGACTTCAGGTATGGTAGACAATTTATAATTATACAAATCAATAATAGATCAACTTTTGAAATAGTATTCTACAAGTGATACATGTATGAACTATCTAAAAATTACTAGGACCATCAAATCATAAGTAATCACGATTAAAGCACTTTAGTAACTTCAGTAGGATTGCATTTGATATAATATTTTTCAGCAGAGGAAGTCCATCAATCTTAACTAATAAATTTTGTTCCCTGTAAAGGGCCAACTGTACATATTTGAAGATACAAGAATAAAAACAGAAGAAAAGTGGTTAAACGCCAATTTGTAACAACACCAAACACACCTTAGTGGCAGAACGAGCAATTGCCTGCACAACAGTTTCCTTGCTAAGAAAGTGAACTGCGTCTTCCACCATCTGGTTATGAAAGTGTTTACAAGTAAATAGGAATGCAAAGTGTTAAGGACAATTCCAAGCTGAGCCACTGTTCTGCTCAAGAACAGAACAAAAATCTCCAAATAATTGCTTCCATAAATAAAATCTGTTTGTCAATAGCTGGACAAACCTTAAGAGTCAAGCACGGACGAGAGACAGCAAACCCAAAAGCTACAACAAGTGTTACTGCTGATACAGCAGCACCAGCAAATGGGGGATAAATTTTCAAACTAGCAACGACACCCCAGCCCTCAGTTGCCAATGCAACCCCATAAAGCACAAGGAATGCAGCACTGTGGACAAATTCATTCATATACATCAGATGTGAAGAATTAATCAAGCTATGCAGTTTTAATGAACACTACGCTGTTTATGTAGAACTGCTGACCGCAAGACTGGTGGAACAGAATAATGAGCGATGAGCTTGATATTCATGACAAATGAATTATGTTAAACTAGATAATGTTTCCAACAAACCTGACATTCTTTCCACAATCTGCATGAGCATCATAAACATATACAGGCAGTACCCTTGGAGAATAAACGACAACAGGAGGTGAAAGCAGAACCTGCAAGAAGGGAGCATTATTGGTTGCTTAAAGTCAGAACATCCAGAACCAAAGATAGAGCAGCTTTAGTACCCAGAAGAAAGAATCAAATATGAATAACAAGTGTCACAACTACATCAATGATAGGCAAATATAACTCACAGTCAATGCCCTTCCGGCCAGAAGAAAGAGAAATGAAAAGTAACCAACAGAGGCTCCGACGAAAGGTTTATCTGAACACACCAAACCAACAATGTCAGTTGCCAAGCCAGAAGACACTTTAAAAAGGGATATTACAGTTGCATTGAACATATATATAGGTTCTGCTATCCCGCTGTATGCATGTAATAGGATAGCACCATTCCAACTATTCTGGACACATAATGTCCCTCCCACCTCAGTAGAATTGTGTGCTTACAGTGTTATATCATGTTAGAAAATCAAATCCAGATCCAATTTGGATCTTCTTTCACAACCAGCCTACTTTTTGAAGGTATAAATCTATCAGCACAACCACCATCTATCATATCCAAAAAAAATCGAACAATGCTAACAAAATGTCATGGATTTGCTGTCGCAACAAGGAATCTATGATATGGCTCACATGATTGGATGAAAAGTACAGAGTAAAAACAGAAAGATTCCTTTCACCTTGGAACCACCCCATGAGAAATGCTGCCAAAGCCAAAAGAAAAGCAAGGAAACAAACAAGTAACATCTGTGCCCTGGTCAAATAAAAATTGTTTGAAGCCCAGTAGTGGACAACACCAATAGCTAGAACAAGGAGAAGAAGAGCTAAAAGGAATGCTGCCCCTATCTGTTGCAATAACCAAAGAGAAACCATGTCAGACATGTTTTAAAGATAAAAGCGAACGTAAATCAAGGACACAAGGAGTAATTCTCACTCACCGTCCACGGTGTAACAAGAATTATAACAGCTGATATTGCACCAAGCAGAAGAAGAAGACCAATGATGATGCAGACATAAACACCTCGAGAAAGTTTCCAATCATCATCTTTCCTGCAAATATTTTCATTGCATATATCATAAAACTAATATGTCCATGAAATATGCTTTCTGCAAATAATTACTAAAGAAAAAGCCAATTCCCAGATTCCAGCTGAGAGGAGCAATTGCTCGAAGCATGCAAGAGCACTTACCACTTAAACAAACCACAACAAAGTGATAACAGTGCTGGAATGCACACCAGAGGAAGTAAAGCAACAAGGAAATCAGTCTTTGTAGGAACCTCGTCGTCCCTCGAATTCACAACCTCCAGATAGGATGCACCACAAAATGCCACAAGGATAACTAGAATAACAGGAACAGCACAGAAGACAGTTGTTTAAACAAAGCTTAAACTGATGTACAAAAAGAAAAAGAAAAAGAAAAAGAAAAGGGAAAAGAGCGACTCCCCTGTACAGTAAAGCTGAGAGAAGCTTACATAGGGAGAAGTCAAGGCCTAAATTTATTCAAAACTTACCTGCAAATATTCCAGCGCATATAGCAGAAGAAAGAGAGAATCGATATGTTGCGAACCAGGATACCATCGGTAGCACACCAGTAACAATTAAAGCAATAGCAGAAGCCAGTGCCCAGCCAAGGTACACAGATGATGCATAAGGAGATGTAACACTGTTCTGGTCCCTAGTCCATCCTTTGTACTGTAAATCCTCCAATGGTTTTGCGGATACTATAGCACCGAGAGCTAATACAGATCCAGCAAATACAGATATGCATATGAAAAGAACAACACCCTGACAATGGTTTGTAGCAAAGCAATCAGAAAGTGCCCTACAAACTTAATTTAACTTTAAAAACATTCTTAGAAGGTTCTAATCCCTTCTGAACGCACCAGGCACCAAACTTCCCACCCAACAGCAGATGAAAACATAAGCTTACACTCCTAAATATAAAACCAACCACATGTAAATGTTATAGGCATCAAACCAAAAACTAGTTGGCAATGGGTAGAGAGGCCACTAAACCATATAAACTAACCTTGGCGTACCAAATTTTACAATGTGAAACACAAGTTCTCGTCATACCCTCTCTTACCGAAATAGATGGTGAGAAACTTCACCCATTGATCACCCAAGCTTAGCTTTCATACCACATTAGAGGCGTCCAACTCAATCCCAATTATCAATGAGAGGAGAGACCCCTCAACTACATAAACCAACTATGGTTGCACTAGCAGAATATGAACTCTTATCACAGTAAACAAAGTGATGGAGAGAATTTGCATTTTCGTTCGTGGGTGGTGGTGGCTTTTTCTGGGCGGGGGATAAGTTGAAAAGTTGCATTTTTCAGTGCTTAGCTAAATGATGATAACCAGGAGAAAGTGGGGAAAAGCCTAGCAGGAACTGATTTTTCCTTGTACATAGTGTTCAACATAATAAGGGGTGAAAGCTCAAAATTCAGATAACAGAAGCACAATTTCAGCCCTCTAAAAATAAAGAACTTCCATTATGACCTATCACAGTGAATATGAAGATGAGCCGATGTAAAGCAAAATGGAAAAATGTTACAAGTTATCTGCTACAAACAACCTTCACAACAGAAACAAAATCAGAGAAAATTGTAAACATTGATGTCAAATTAAGCTCCATTGAAGACCACACTAAAGAGCAAACTATAGAAGTTACAAACATGAATCCCAAGACAGCTCTGTTTACATCCACACTCAACCATTCTCCAACATTGGAGTTGCATTAAATGAAAGCCACATATAATTTTACCCCGAACAACTACCTGAGTACCACCTATTAAAATATGTATTTGTTTTAAATATTGCCTTAGATCTTCCACATCTTCTAAGTTTAATGGTGTTTTGTTCATAAAGTCTTCATTTCTCTCATTCTCTCTAGGTATTTTATATGTTGTATACTAGACTAAGAACATTAATACGATGAGATTAAAGGGGCTTTGTACAGTTAAAACTGCGCATCACTTTCATCACTTTTTTTGTTATTTTTTATATTTCATCCTTAGTTTCCTACATAGTGTAGGAGTGTGCCCTTGTTTCAATGGGCGGACATGGATATGTATTAGGGTATCATGAACATGTCACAAGAGTTGAAGCACTTCTGTGAATTACATTGCATCAGAAAGATCAACAATAAGAAACAGAGAGACAGAAGAACAAACCTCCTTCATCCCCAAAGTTTGATGATTTCCGGCTTGACCTGCGCAATCAGTTCTTGAAATCCAGAACTGGTAGCCATTACGAATCCATATAGGAATGGCAACAGATAGGCATGCCACCATGAGAGGGACTGTCAAAGACAATCCGAGAAGAACCGATGACTTGCTGCATAACAGATATAAAGACAAATGTCAATAGATCAAATTACAACCACTACTGCCAAATCAATCAAAGAAGGGAACGAGACAGTTAAAAATGATATTAAAGAACAAACTGATCTCAATGAGACTATGAGAGTTTAAATGAAGTCCCAGTATATGGAAGCTCACACTACATGCATGCAAAGATCTGGTGTGATAACTTGTGCTTGGTACGGGATGTGGCAGTAAAACAAGCAGAACAGTAAAACAGAATTATTTTCTGGTTTTTGATCCAAGTATGAGCTAAGAGAATTCTAAAGTTTGTACATGTAATGCAGCCTAATCCAATGGGAATGTGGGATTTTTCCTTTCCTTCTTTTCCTCGTCTTCTTGGTTATGTGCAACACTTGCTATTCACAGCATAAACAGTCCCTAATATCACATTAAAACTCATCGCAGTTGGCTCTAATGCTAGAAAACATCAAAACTTCCTTTTTAGAAGATTCCAATACACTTTCTGAATCTCCTGTGACCTACCGTTTTTATAACCAAGTTGATTCTAACTTCTCCCAGGCCAGGCTGCACTCATTAGCCTTGTGCACTGGGTATGACCTTTCTATTAAGTTGATTATAATTTATAACCTCTTTCTATCCACAAGACAAACAATCCTCCTTCTATGGTCCTACTTTTGTGAAATCCTAATAACAGTAACACCAGTTGTCGGCAGCATTCTGCCCTTTCACTTTGATTCAATACTAGAAACCATTAGAAACTTTGTTTTCACAAAGTTCCAACATTCTTTCTGTATCTCCAGCTATGTACCATTTTTATAACATTAGTTCTAGCAAACCTTTTTCCATCCACAAATCAAGCAATCCTTCTCCTACCAAGTGAAATCCTAAAAATAGAAGTATTGCAAACCAAGACCCCACCATAACACATTGTAGGCAGAGTGATACTAAGCTTCATAAGGACATCCTACATTATACATGCTAGAAGAGTACAAGGGGTCGCTGGTCATCATCTCGCTCATTGGCAAGTGGCTCTTTCAATATGGAAAGCTTTATTTTATTGGGACATTTTTTTTTCTTTGGCTCTAGGGCCATTGCTTGGGCATGCTTAAAATGATAGGCCCATCCAATGTATTCAAGTTAAGAATCAGACATCAAGCCAAAGCTAAGTCTTTGTCCAACAGTTATCCCTCCCAGCACCTTGCACACAACCAACTAGATAAGGAGGGGCTCAAAACAAAAATTCAACTAAAGGATCTATAACCAATGGATCAGTCTCCTTGAGCTAAAAATCAAGGAGCTCAAAAAAACTCATGCATCATATGACCAAAATAAATCATTTAGCACATTAAACATAGTGGAAATGAATTTTCATGTGCAATTGGAAATTAAAAAAATGCAAAAAGTAATAACACAATGCTTTTATAAATAAATCAAGTTTAACTTTTCAGCTACATATATTAGAGTGTTACTATGAAATAAAATTTTAAAGACTGTTTTTCTGTCATAAGTGTTAAAGAATTTAGTTAGCCAAAAGACACAAAAAATACCCAAAAATAAAGTAAAAGGACTTGAGCCTCATAGACATTCATACACGGAGGAGTCTTTTGACTCTTCTTAAGAGTTTTATCTATTGAGAGAGAGAGAAAGAGAGAGAGAGAGACGTTGGGTTACTACACGAAGAATAAGAAGAAGAAGAAGAAGAGGGAGACCTACATCCAAAATGGATAAATGGGGGTGAGCTTGAGAGGCCCAATAAGTAATTTACAACACAATATACTGAGTCACAAGGCCAAATGATAACTGTGAAACCCAAAGCATGTAAGGGAGATGCATTTAAATGTTATGGGGTTTGTATGCAATTTATTATTTAAAGTTTTGGGAGTGAGAATTAATTTAGGTGTTATCAGAGGGAGGAATAGATAGAGCTACTTGTTAAACCTCCTACTTGTTATACTTGGAAGCCACTCCACTACAAAAAAAAAAAAAAAATCCTACAATTATATTATAATAATCTAGTTATACAATATATTTAAAAGTCCTTGTTCTAGTTAGGAGTCAAGACGAGAAGTATGCTAGGTGTCCTAAAATGATGAATCATTGTCGTGGTTAGGCGTCGAGAGGGGAAGGGTGTGCAGTGTCTCATTAGGTGTCAAGCAAGCAAGGGTGCTTGATGTCTCATCACGTGTCAAGCATGCAAGGGTGCTTGGTGTCCACCTAGCTTGGTGTCAAGTGTGCAAGAGTGTTTGGTGTCCTAGGAGACTAGCTAGGTGGCAAGTGTGAGAGTTGTCTATATATAGTTCATTTGCATGGTGAAGGACCAGCTATTGGAGGGAAATATTTACAGTTAGGGTGAGGGAATTAACAAAAATAAAACAACAAGCAAGAAGAAGGCAAGAAAGGAGGGAGGTGGGTTTTCTTGTTAGTTTTAGTAGTGAAGTGTTATAATAATTCATATTAGTTAAACATGCTTTATTGACTTAATCTGGTCCTAGTTTGTTTGGGTAAGGTGTAGAAGCATAGCTAGTTAATAATGTTTCTTTTAATTAGATTAAAAAGCTCTAGGTAGTGGAATTAATTGACTAATGTTTAAAAAGATTGAATATAAGGATCAAAACATGCATACGCGCATCTAACTCATTATGTTTGAAGGTGATATTTACTAGCGTCATGGGATATGTTGTCTTAGGTGCATAGAGGACTGCATCAATTGCATCGCTAGTAATAAACCTAGTGCAAAGAAGTGAGTTGGTGTAGAGTGTTGAAGGTGAGTATACTATGTTATATAATTTGAAAACTAAATTACTAGTATATATATAGTTTATGAGTATAATTGTTGCTAGTTGGTGGATTTCCTTAAATGTTGTTTGAAAAATGGTGAATTGTGGTGTGGATCGTGATTATTTTCAAAAAGGGGGTTGCTTCAAATGGTGAGGTTTTATCATTCACATCAGCCTGTTATACTAAATTTGGTAAGGTGATCACTTGTCTTTCTAAGTAAAATTGGGAGGTTGGCTGGTGTACCCCTACCATTGGGAGGATAATGAAAGACCCTCCACTCGTTCGATATCAATGGATTGAATTGAGATGTGAGGTTACGATACCATCTAAACCTAGTCGTAGGGAAAAAGATCATTGGCTCTGAATGAAATGGGTGGAGTTTAATTATATTTTGCAACACGGCGGTGCACTTTGACAAAAAAGTATATTTTAATAGCAACTTATCTCCTATGCTTCGTTATCAAATATTTATCAAAGGTGAGGTGGGGACTGTTTATTGCTCAAAGCATGATCCATACTTGCTTTAATGTTCCCTTATTATATGATGCTAGTATGCTCACTAAGCATGTTGAAAGCTTACACCTCCCACAGTTGATTTTGGGGTACAGGTGTTCGCGATGCTAGTTGATCCATTGTACAGTCTAGAATCGTGTGAAAGAATGATGCAATGTAGACAAGGTTACTTAGGAACACTAGGTTTCCAGTACTAATGATCTCCTATAAGGAGAAAGAGATTTTGTTAATGTGATGCGTAAATTATATAGAGTTTTTCTGTAAGGGTATGTATAAAAGTGAGTGTTAGTTATCCTTGAGCAAGGTGCGATTTAACAGCCTTACTATCTACTACTTTATGACAAGCGTAAGAAAACGGATAATTGATCCACCCCATCCTTGAGAAGAGCAAAAGAACCCTACCGGGTTGGGTGGTGACAATAACCCAACAATCAACTGCAGAAATAGCAAATAAAATGAGTATTTAACACAAATCCCATCATGAAATCATATAAAACCCAACGATTTAATATTTCAAATCACTCGTGGTTTTGTACTTGGTTCCTCTCGACTGTGTGTCTGGCGCTACTCAGTACATCCCATTCTAACACACACCCCTTAGAACACCACCGAATCTAAGGCGATTGGGTTCGGGGCAGAATAGAAACAATATCTTGAATTTGCATTAGCGGGGAAATTTTGGAATGTGAAAATACCTCAAAATGCATACCAGTTATAAAACAAGCATGTTGTTCGCAACAGGCAAAAAAAATTGTGGTATGCTCCTTGGATTCCGATGAGGCATATTATTCCTACAATGGCTGCTTGAGTGGTACTTGATTCAAATTTAAGTGACAATGCTAGGGTTAGTACAATTGACGTGGGGTAAGAGTAAAAATGACCAACACCCATACTCTTGATCTAATGAACTTCAAATCCTCCTTATTTGAAGCTTAATGCTCATAGAGAAGACTAGATTTGATGCAAAAATACATCACAAGATTTTTGGGCATTTGTTTGAAAGCGGTCAGTGTTGTTCAATTAGGGAATTTTTAAAAGATTTTATTTATTTCCTAATTTAGTTAGGAAATTGCTTTATTTTATTTTCTAGTTTAATTAGGATTTTATTTTTTGCATTCTTTCTAAATTCCATTAGCATTCTAGTTTCATAGTTTGATTAAGTTTCTACTATTATAAATAGCAAAGTGTGTTGATGTTTTGAATAATATTTTTATAGAAAGTGGTTTTCTCTTCTACCCAATTGCTTTGGCATTCTCTTGAATCAACAAAGCCTTTTGAAGGACTTTAGCATGGTATTATCGAGGATAAATAACATTTCTAGGGTTTTCCCATGCAACATTAGTAAGGCTTTTCTATGCTACTACGGTTCGTCGAGCCATACTCCCCACATTAGTTGGTATCAGAGCTTTCAGTCTTTCCTGCAAATATGCAAAATGACACTTGGGAGAACCATATATCTGTTGGGAGAACTATGTATCTGTTGACAAAGTGCATGTATATGGTGATGTAATCCAATCCAACTAACACAAGCATCCGATTGATGGTTGACTATCAACATGTCAACTGAATCATGTCCCGTTTAGTGCATGATAAGGTACCGAGCATCAAGCGGGGTTCTTGAATTACTTCCACATCTTGACACAAAATTGATCCTACTGAATTTCCTATGGTGTATCAGAAATCAACAATACACATTGATGGAACACCAAGGTGAAATTATAACAACCATAAAGTTGATGTTGCAATGACCCTCAATTATCTCTGAAGAAATTAATGTTCTTGACATGAACTTTTAAGAGGTATCTTTTTCTAGTGATTCATCTATCATGTAACTATAAGTTAATAAATTCGATGAATATCCAGAGGATGTCATTTTAGTAAGTACCCTAGATGGTTTTGAGGTTTTGATATACATCAGATTCCCAAAAGATAAATATTTGCCAAGCTCCACGCCAGATAAAGCAGGTAAAGAGAATGCAGATCATAATTTCTCAGTGTATGCTTTGATGGTACTGGTCAGATAAATAACATCATTGATGTTCATGATGTTCCAAACTAATGAAACAACACTGTCCTTGTTGCATCAACCGCATATGCTTTACATTGCGACGAGACATTTAAATGGTCGTTTGATGAGCAAGAGTTAGAGTTTTCCTTTTAAGTATTCCCAATGACAAGGTTGTAAGAAGAATCAGACTTTTCCTTCCAATCAATCGACCAAGGTGGAGGCTCAGTTTGGCCATTTATCAGTTTTGAAACAGCAAACAACATGGCATACAAGTTCATGGTGAGACCCACCAGCATAATCAGTAAACAGATGGATGAAAAGTTTCTCAAACATTATGAATTTGTCCTTGTGAATGTTTCCGAAGATCACCTATGATTGAACTTCTCAGTCATGGACACTCATTTGATGGGTATACACTTTGAGTTGGTTGAAACTTGAACGCCTAAATTGAAACAAACATTAAAGGACTCAATTCAAATTTGATGGGTTGGCTGGATGCCCAAATTCAAGTGAAGACTCAAATATTGAATTTGATGACGAATTATTCCCAACCCGGGAGAATGATGCAGAATACATGCTGATATTTTTGGCAATTTTTTTGAACATGTACAATGTCGTTCAATTTGGGAATTTTTAAAAGATTTAAATTTATTTCCTAATTAATTAGAAAAATGATTTATTTATTTTCTAGTATAATTAGGCTTTCATTATTTGTTTTCT